AAAGATTGGGGTTTCAGGGATGAACTAGACATTCAAGATTTTATTAATATTTAGTATAGCTAGGTAAAAGTTTAGTTGTGAGCTACGAGAAATGTTTTGTGGTTTGAGACTTGAGGGAGGTTAAGTTCATTTTACAGTTTTCATTATACTAATCACTTGCTAATTGGTGCTCAACCGCATCGTGGCTTCTCAGTTGAGCAAAGTTTTACAAAATCTTCGGAATTTTGAAGTGATCACGTTTACTTTGATAATTTTTAGTTGGGTTACTAACTTAACCCGAAATATATCTGAAAATTTAACGAACCTTTCGCACAGTGTTCAACTGTAAGTTACCACTATTCTTATCTATTTTCTTTGTGTGTTTATAAGTCTTTTTTTTTCAGATCTTAGACCCAATGAGAGGAGTAGTCCTCGACAGATTTGGGCTCATGCACTTAATAGCAACAAATGTATGTGAATGGCTCAACGTAGTCGTTCAGGAAACACGAGATGATATTTTAGTTATGGCCTATGACCGGCCAGCATTTATCCGATATGCTAATGTAACTGGTGCTTCAAAAATATTTGTAAGAGAACCAACAGACAATAGCACTTACATTCAAGAACAAACAAATAATGTAAACAGTGAGAACTTTATTTCAAATATAACCTTGAATGTATCAAATGTTATCACGGAGAATATCAGCAACGTATGGACCTGCAACGTATCGGACATGATCACCCCTCTAATCAGGAGTGTAAACCCATATCTCAGGCCATGCGGTGTAGAATACAGTCTGTTGTGTTCCATCATCATAGTTGTCATCTGGAATGACATCTGCACAGTTCCAGGATCCGTAAGTTCTTTTTATTTCAATAAATGATTCAAAGTATTGCATAGGAACTAAAACTTGCACTATTGAACATACATACATACATAACATCACGCCTTTTATCCCTGAAGGGGTAGGCAGAGGTGTACATTATGCCACTGTACAATGTAACACCCACTTTTCACTATTTATGTTATAAGTCCCATGTAATAGGGGGTGAGCCTATTGCCATATACCGGGCACAATTTCAGCCTCCGTGCTACTACTGAGAATTTTTTTAAAACCCAGTAAAACTTGCCCGACCCGGGAATCGAACCCGAGACGTGCCCAGCAGTCACACTTGCGACCACTCGGTCAACGAGGCAGTCATATATTGAACATATCTTGCCATAAAGATACTCATATTAGATTACTTAGAGAATTAATTACCTTCTCAGTTTACATCGTCGACCTACTTTTCAACCGCACATGTCTAATTGGTTCCGAGAATCTGCATCAGAGCAGGAACATTAATTAGGTCAATGAATTACTTATTGATCACGTTTCCAGAAACCGATAAAAGAGCCTGCACCAACCGCGACTGCCAAAGACCGGCAATGCTGTGCTCGAGCCAAATCAAATAACCATTTCTCTGTTGACTGTGGGAGTGCACATAAAGGTCTGTTCATGGGAGTAGCAGTTTTGGCGGGGACTATTGTCAGTCTGATGCTGTTCAACGGATTGTTCCAAAAACAGGAACATATGAATTTAGCTTTACTGCAGGTAAACTTAATAGCATGCCAGTATTGTGAACAATTGATTAATTTGAAGGTGTTTTTTTTTTTCAAATTATTTTTCTCTTTTACTAGATAAACATCTGGGAATCAATACTATTCCTGCTCATGACTATTGGTTCAGGGGCATGTATTCAAAGGATGCGAACTTTGCCACTTAAGCGTGCTGTATCCGCGCTGCCATTGGAACACGCCCTACTTCTGGTCACACAGTGTGGAGTTTATTTATACTACTTGTTTCAAATTATTGGGGCTGGATTCTTTATACAGCAATATTCTGGAGAAAATCAAGCAACCAGGTAACTAATATATAAACTTAAAGTACTATATCTAGAGGTACTTAAAATACGAAATCAAAAAATCTCAATGTCACTTAGCCAGACCTGAGTCCCGAACTAATTCTCTATAATTGCAACCCGCAATACGGGTTATGATTTACGATAAGCTGAATCAACAGCCTGTTGCTGCACTTTATATCATCAACATCTTTTTCAGGATAATATCTCCTCTATGTGCTGTTATTCAAAGCTCCTGTCAGACACTACTGGTGCTAGATGCTTGGTCTCGTCGCTGTGCTGGCACGGGCAGGCAACGACCGGGTCGTCAACTAGTGACGTTCCTCCTCGTCGGAAATTTTGCTCTTTGGCTAATAAATCGAGTGAAAAATGCAAGAGCAGAGTTTCATCCCTTACAGGTAAAGCAATCTATTAGTCTATGCGTATCATAATGGATTATAAAAACCCTTAACAGATAGGTATTAAATCAGTAGCTATCTTGAATTTTAGTCTGCCCCATTAATTGGTCGCTAATTTGGTCCTATTCCTTATTTTACAGATGGAATTCTATGGAGTTTGGGCTTGGACTCTCATAACACACGTGTCAGTTCCACTTCTCGTGTGCTACCGGTTTCAAGCTACAGTGTGTTTCTATGAAATTTGGAAAAACTCCTACAAACGAACAAGACAAGCCAACAACATGGATGTCGATGAAATAGAACTAAAGAACCATCACAATGCCTAGTTTTTAAAAGCCAACACTTTATAGATACGTAATAAATTAACCGACTGAAACTATATTAACTTGGTTTCTTTTTACTATAATAATTACATACATACCACGGTACCACCTACCTATAGACACCACCACTTGATTAACACTTTAATTTTACCTGCTGTCCAACTGCTCAAGCATGACTATGTGCTAACAAAATAGCAAAATAGTAGATTTTACATTGAACGTGAGTAATATTAATGCCTACGCCTTCGAATATTAAAAAGCGTAATGTTATGGACGGTTGGTGCAGTGGCTGGGTGTGTGGGTGACCAGCTGCTGTGCAAGATTTCGTGGGTTCGATTCCCACGTCGCCGTCGCTCGGGCAAAAAGTGCTTAGGCCTATACATTTTTTCTTATTAAAATTACCATTATTAGATCGGAGTAGGTATGCTATATCAGTGTTAGAGCATATACCTACTTGTGCACTATAATAGATACATCTTGCGTAGTTTAGTCTAGTTAGGCTGGACAATTGCCACAATGATCGAAACCAATCGACGACGAAGACGACCATTAACTTACAAAGAAATATCTACCTATAATTTTATTACCGTCATTCATCCTAAATATATTTAATCAGCCTCAGGCGAAGTCACAGTGGTATCTTCTTCTGATTCTTAACGTAAGCTTCCCCAAACCTAACCATTTAGAAGTGACTCCCTACATCCTACATGTGATGTTTATGTGAATTGTAATTAAAATTAGTAGGTATTGCCTCGTTGGCCGAGTGGTCGCAAGTGCGACTGCCGTGCAAGGGGTCCCAGGTTCGATTCCCGGGTCTAGCACAGAATTACTGGGTTTTAAAAAAAAATCTCTGTAGTAGCACGGAGTCTGGAATTGTGCCCGGTATATAGCAATAGGCTCACCCCTTATTACATGGGACTCATAACATAAATAGTGAAAACTGGGTGTTACATTGTACAGTGGCATAATGTGCACCTTTGCCTACCCCTTCGGGTTTAAAGGCGTGAGGTTATGTTATGTTATATTAATTAAAATTATGTTGATGGTTACAGTACCAATAGTAACCATAGACTTACGAAACATCTGGTCCAAAAGCCCAACACCTAATATACAGAACTCCGTCATCTTGGTTCGAAAAAAGTAAAATAGACATAACCTCGGGCGTTTGTCATACCTGTCAAATTTGTGTACAACATTTCCTCATTTTAGATTTTAAAAAGAAAGGTATTTCAATAAAAATATGGCTTCTGTAATGGATGTGGATGAAGAAGAAGTAGAGATGGCTTCGTCGAGTAGCGGTAAAGGTGACAAAAAAAGATTTGAAGTCAAAAAGGTAACTATAAATTTACGCTAACTCATTGTAACGGTGCGCTATACCTTCTTTGTTGTTGTATTTGTTCCTGACCGATTTTATATTTATTTCAGTGGAATGCGGTTGCTTTATGGGCTTGGGGTAAGAAAGATCCTTAAAATATTGATCTAGCAGATGAGTTCTCATATGCATTAACTTATACATTCGTATGTATCTATTTCAGACATTGTGGTCGATAACTGCGCGATTTGCCGCAACCATATAATGGATCTGTGCATAGAATGCCAAGCCAACCAGGCTTCAGCAACCAGTGAGGAGTGCACAGTAGCTTGGGGTGTTTGTAATGTAAATATGAAAGAATCTTACTTGAAATACTTGCCAATGAACCAGATTCTCACCAATTAACTTTTCTGTATTTCAGCATGCTTTTCACTTCCATTGCATCTCACGTTGGCTCAAAACAAGGCAAGTCTGCCCTCTAGACAACAGAGAGTGGGAATTCCAGAAGTAAGTACAATTCTTATAAGAGTATGTAGCTCAAAATATTAGGTGAAGTAAATTTTGAACAACTTTAACTTTGAAAAAATTAATGTGTAGGTATTCTCATAGTTCCAACATAACATCAACTACTATAATCATTATTGTTTCTGCTTTATCTGTATATTAGCCCTCATTTCCATGAATTGTAGCTCATAACAGAATTGATTTTCAGTCCATACTCCAAACATTTGTCATAATGAATGAAGATTCATAACAAAAGTTATTTGTTGTTTCAGGTATGGACACTAAAGCAGAATATCTACAGCGGCCATCCCTTCAAGAAGCCTCAGCTATATATTGAGAATGGGCATACCAATGTCAATATTGCATTAAGTTGATAATAAAATAACTCAAAAGTATTAAATTTTTCGTTATTCATTATTACGCGATTATTAATTGTAAATTGTGATTATGGAACTTGTAATGAAAAATAAATAACCCATAAAAATAGAATCCTGTCTTCCATGAAATGTTTATTTTTTAGGGAGATGATGGATTTTTTCCTTGGAAAGGGTGATATGATATGCTAACATGGTGTAGCATAAAATCAAACAAAATATTAGAAAGAAACTTGAGGCAATTTATTGTGATAATTACTGAAATGAAAAATATTTCATGTTTGTCAACAATATGCAACTGTTTTTGTCTAAATTACAGATTTCTTACATACACTATTCCCAATGAGGAATATCACAATAGCTAGTAATAAACCAGCAATTCACAAATTGCTGCAATGTCCATTCCAGCCACATAACTAAGTTGTGTGCATCATTTCTCTAATACAGCCAATACTTTTAAAATAAAGTACACAAATTATTCTAGGTCCAATTTTTTTATAAATGACCACTAAGAGGTAGGTACCTTCATTTTAACTAAACCAAAATTGACCTAATAAAGCTTAAATATTTAAAATATTATCTTTATTTACAGTAAAAAACGATCTTACATTTGAATGCTCATGAATAAACAACTAATAGTTGTTTTGCAATGCAATCTTGTATGTAAATAAGACAATGAAATGACACTCCTTTGTTAGCTAAACATTAACTATTTGGAGGTAACTATTTCATATTCAGTCTGCCACAACTAAAGTAGCATTGGAGCGCACAAAAACTAAAATTAGTCTTTCACTCTTAAATTTTTTATAAATACAGTTTCTGTGAACAGAATCTATTTTAAATTTTTTTAACATACCCACACTCTTAAGTAGTCACAATTAGTTATGTATTTCAAATACTTCAATTTTTAATAGTTAATTTTACTGTTATATACAAACTATGTCCCTACAACTGCTGAACAGCTTTATACAAGCGTAACGCACCTGTCTCTGCTACATTTCATTCCCATACCTACAATAAAAATCAACATGAAACTGTACATATTAACAATGTTCACATATGCTGTGAAAATTTATCAGTATTAGAACCAAGTTGGATTCCCAATTAGACATTTAGCGTAATTTTCATTGTGGCAAGTGAAGTGAACCATTCTCAGGCCAATATTCATAATCTCCCTGCTGTACCTATTGCATAACCATTGTAACTTTCGACTCGATGATTTTGTAATTTATTGAATCTAGTCTCGAAACTACGCCCTTGTTCAAATTGAAGATTTACATACACTACATTTATTACTAATAATAACTATTACTCTTCAAATAGAGAATTTATTTCACTATGCTCATCGAAATATCCATACCATATTCAATATACACATTTCATTAAGACGTTGTTACAAGAACAATAAATTATTATACAATGCAATGAGATCTACCTGCAGCAAGTCAACAATGTCAACATATAAATTAAAATGGTAAGAATCATGCTCCTAATTATTCATTTCCAATAACATATTATTTTCTTACCACATGGCAGTATAATCTGCCAGGACTTATTTCACCTTCAAATAAGTCGTATCTGACTTTGAATAAACAAAACCCAATGTTTTTGTACATACATTAACAGAATAACATTAGTTTATATTATAAAATTCTATACTAGATCAACTTATTTGATAATCGTGAAACCGCCTGACATGTAAGGGAGATAATGCAATAAAATTGCGCTAATGAAATCAATACAAGTTTCAAATGTCTGTTTTAATAAATATCTCATGGAATCAAGAAATAAAAATTAGATGCATATCACACATTACTCAAATGTCAGAACTTCACGTCACCAAAATAAATACTAGATAAAATAATCCTAATCAGTGTCAATTAAACTATTAATTGAATAATAACGGTGGAAAATAACCATAAGGTAGTTGCGGCTGTCAGTCTGCTGAAATAGCAGTTGGCAAGTCGATGGTACGACTCTCATTGCCAAATATTAATCTTAAGCGTTTCATTGGAGGCAGAGGACGGATGGGGCTATGCTTGCGATGACGCTCCTTCGACCGACGTCGCTTCTTTAGGCGTCTCGCCGTCTCGGGGTCAACGCCCTCTAGCCGTAATACTTCATACTCAGTTGCCTCCGTAGGGTTACCACAATCCATTACTTCTTCTACAACGGGACTTCTTTTCACCCGCAACGTGAGTTTAAGACCTCGCCGTGGAGGAGTACATGGACATTCACTACTTTTATTTGAATTATCTACCAGCCATGGTGGTCCAGAGTCTGTTTCTTTTTTAACTTCTTCAGTCCTACTCGTAACTTCTATTTTTGGATTCTTGTTCTGCTTGCTCTCTTTAGATTCACTTGGATTCACATTTTCTCTAAAATCATATATTTCACTTTTCACACAAGCATTGTCACTTACACATTTATTAGCATGTATTTGTTCTTGAACATTGGAATCGCTTACAGAATGACCACCCTTTCCTTCACTGGTAATACCCAAATCTGTTCTGTGCAAAAGAGATTCGTTTTTATCACAATCATTCTCTATTTTTTCTATATGCGGATCTGTAATATCAACAGAATCAATATTTTCTTTTTGACTATCATTTGATGGTTCTGTTTTGATATTAATTTTATTTGTTTCTAAACCATTCATCTCTGTTTCATCTTTTGGTGTAGTAAGATTCCTATCAGATTTTCCTTCAGAGCTTTGTTTTGATGTGTTTTTAGGTTTAGGACAAGTAGATTGTGAACAAGTGTCAAGTAAGCGTTTATGACTTCGTAAAACTATGCCAGAATGTGAATCGCGACTACTGCGTGAACTAGTAGTGCTACAGCAGCGAGATGGAGGAGCCCTTCGTTTGACACTAGTGGTAGTCACTACAGACATGCCATTGGTGGCTCGGTTACTATCAGTGCGTCGCCGTAATCTTTCACCTCGACTTGAAGCTGAAGATTCTCTACTGCCCTGTGCCTCTTTGCTAACATTACCTTCTATAACATCAGCAATACAACCTTGAGCTATTAAAAGTTCAGCATCATACTTTGTTAAACCTTTTTGCTTCATTTCCTTCATACTAAGTGGAGAAACTATATCAGAATTTTGCCTGCTAGATATTCGAGATTTTTCTGGGTTTTTGCCGTTAACATTTTTTTGTGACTGTTTTGCTTTTGTTCTGTTTATTCTATTATCAGTTTCTCTAAATCGATATCTGGTGGCTTGCTCATCGTTGTGTGCATTTTGTACAGAGAATGCACCTTTACCCCGTCTTTCACAAGTCTCACATTCACAGTAACAATTGCCATTTCCAAAAAAGTCCTCTCCATAAAAACAAGTTATTTCTTCACCAACCTCAATATCTCTCAACACACGAACAAATGCCTTCCCACGATCAGTAGCCTCAAAAGTACAAGTAGGTCTACAGTCATGATTAATGTATGCTGCAGGGCCAAGCCACAGCTGTGCACAATTTTTTCTACAACTATACATTACAGAAAAATCATTTTTTCCAGGATGAAGTAATTGTTTTTCTTCTTCTTCTGTCATCTCAGCAATACAGCCAACAAGAAAATCAATTCTTTCATGCTTGAAGAATTTTTTTGTTGTAGAAATCTTTGCACCCACTCGACCTTCCAAAGAGTACCTATAACAGGGCTCTATAACAAAGCCTGCTTTTTTATCAAATACTCGCAAATAACGATAAATCTGAAATAAAACATTTCAATAATTAATGTTAAAAGTCACACAATGATAACAAAATAAGGCACATGTTTACACAAACAACATTATTACATAAACTTCACATGTTATAGTAAGTTGTTAGTAAATATAATGCTATAAATTTAAATGATAAGTATTTGGGCTAACAAATTTTGTAATCATATTTCAGTTGAATTAAATCACTTAATACAAAGGGATAGTCACTGATGTCACATGAATAGGAAGTTCACTAGAATAAATACTAACATGTTCTCTTAGCTTGCTCTGTTGGTGTTTATTTTTGCTAAAATGTCTTGGCATCCATTCACCATTAGCTAATCTAGAGTATGCCTTATTATAATCTTGTGTTTGGATAAATTCCTTAATAATACTCTTCAGCTCTTCTTTATTTGTTTTTAATGGTCTATAACGAATATTCATTTTATGTGTGGTGATGCCAAGATATGGATCCACTATAAGAGCTGTAGCTAAGTCATCGTACTCTGACAGCTCACGAGGTGTCATGCCCATTGGTTGCATCTTGTGGAGCACTTGCCTCCCTGGGTACGTCGCTGATCCAACAACCATCCTGAATACCTGAATAACAAAGGACGCGAATGTTGTAGTTACACACATAATTTTTCCATCTTAATAAGAATGGTAAAGACTGAAAACCTTGTAAAATATTGAACTGCAATTAAAAATCTAGCATATCTTCAACAGTAAAAAGTCCTATTCGAATAACCATACAATCTCTCAATTTCTAAATTATTGTAAAAGGACAAACATGGCGGCCGAACACGAAAACCAAAAACCGACACGTCAAAATGTTGACACTGTTTTTTATTCTTTAGAATAACTCAAATAGTTAAAAAATACGAATTATTACGGAACAACTATTCAGCTATTGTTAACACTTACTTAAATCATTGAATGTATGTGAAATTCATGATTATTTTTAAATAACAACTTCACTATCTAGAAGCACTTCCAGACGCTAACTGCTAGGTTATTTACATATATCATACTTAGCTAAATGTTTATTTTTATGTTCTAATAAATTACTTCATAATTAATAAACAGTTATCAAAACTGAAGCAAACTGATCATATTCAAATTAATCTCCAAGGAAAGCTGAAAAACAACCATGTTTTCGTGCACTCCATTCATTAATAGTGTTGTGAACGCAGTAAAATAAATTATCGATGAAGCATAAAACATACGTTTTTTATTACATCGATAGCTTTAGTAACTACTCTTACAGTTTAAAAAAACATTTAAATCGTGATTGAAATAATTTCAAATATTCTCTAATGTTAAGCGTATTATAAATTCTATTTACTCTATAAAAACTATCAATAAACTATACAAACTTGACCTTTTTTATTATTTTCCTAGTCTTTTAGTTTTGATCCATAAATTATTTTACATAAATATAAAATTATAATAAACATTCCTTCAATCGCTTTTAGATTTAATTTATTCAAAATTGTAAACCATGATATTTATTTTAATAGTTTTGATAATATAATTAATAATAAAATCTATACGCTATAATGTGTAATTTTTATTTCTGTTGAACATGAACATCTTCTATTGGGGAATAGAAACTATATAAAGCAAATCAATATTTTTTAAGCCAAGTATAAAAATTATTAACTTACATCTATTTAGTAACTTTTTGAAATAGACGTTAAAATGGCGATATCTATTTTTCTGTCCTAAATGTCGATATCTAACATGACTCTCTAGTAATGTCAAATGTTAAGTAATGTCAAAACGAAACGAAACATACTCTGTGAGGTGATTTGATCTTGATGAAATATCATTCGTTCACCTGTCCTTTGTGATTTCGTTAAATTTTGTTATCCTCTCCTACAATATTGATCGACCTGTTTAAAAATTACTGTGTATCTCCAGTAAAATTCCAAGGTAAAGTATTACATTACTACATTATGTTTTGTGATAATTGTTTGAGACGCTATTTTTATAATATCAGGGTCGAAAAATGGCGTCCAATTTTCGCCGTGGTGTTTATAATTTTTTGGTTTTGTTTTAGATGCCTAACATAAAACTGCAGTCTTCGGATAGCGAAATCTTTACTGTTGATGTCGAGATCGCAAAATGCTCAGTAACAATCAAAACTATGTTGGAAGATTTAGGGATGGAAGATGACGAAGAGGAGGTAGTACCATTACCCAACGTGAATTCCGCTATATTAAAGAAAGTAATTCAATGGGCAACTTACCATAAAGACGATCCACCACTACCAGAAGATGATGAGAATAAAGAAAAGCGAACAGACGACATTTCATCTTGGGATGCTGACTTTTTAAAAGTTGATCAAGGCACTCTGTTTGAATTAATTTTAGCTGCCAACTACTTAGATATAAAAGGCTTACTCGACGTTACTTGCAAAACTGTAGCCAATATGATTAAAGGTAAAACTCCAGAAGAAATTCGCAAAACTTTCAATATCAAAAATGACTTCACCGCAGCTGAGGAAGATCAAGTTCGGAAGGAGAATGAATGGTGCGAGGAGAAGTAATTTAACAGCCTTAGTATTATAATTTCATTCTTTAGATTTAATTGGTATATAAAAGTATGTTGTAATTACTGTAAGTTAATCACTATTTAATTTTCATTGCAACTAAGTAAAAAATTTCAGGTCTACACAAATACTAAATTTAAGTAAAATAGAAAAACTGTATTAGCCACAATGTATTCTAACCTGCTTGATAAATTTGTTACTAGGAAGTTATTCCAAATTGTAAACCTATAACAATTGATTTTATTTGTACAGAATAAATTTCCTGAAATATGTGTTTTTTTATTATAATATTTAGACCCTATTGTGATCAATGTTTTAGGATAATTAGAAATGGCCTTTGACAAATGCTTTGTTTTATTATATCTAGAAATTTATCTAAATAAACATCTTATAACGAATTTATTATTGGGAGTGGAGCATGCCTGAGCAGAGTTCAGGCATGCTCAAATGTTCACAAATGAGCCACTCATTTGAAGAATAGCTAAAGTGAATACAAGGTTTTATCTAATGTTACATTTGGAAGTTGCAACAGACTACCTACAAAAATTAAATAAATTTCATAATATTGACCTAACTTAGTGAGCCTACTAAATATTGAAGTGAAATTATTATACTATTATAGTCTTCTTTGCTTTCAGTCATCCTGGTAAGAGCCTGCAGGAAATACGTTATATTTTTAGAATATATCCCTCTGCATACTGTAAATGTCGTAGGGTACACACGAATGTGCACACCTACATAGATACCTATTTATTGACGTAGGTAGCTTTCCTTTGTACCGTTTGTACCACAGACTACCTAGAGATACTACGTACCTATGTTTGTACGGCAATGACCCGACATTATTGATTTTACTATTACTAACGCCACCTAGCATAAGTTTAAAGTAATTTTTGAAATCATCTAGATGCTAGAGACAGGCAGATACGGTACCATTTTTTTTCTAGAGTCTAGAACAATGGCCCTAATTTTTTTTTATTCCTAGATATAAGTATGTAAACGTAATATTGACATCATCAGTATAGTACCTACTAATACCTAGTCATGGAACAGTAAAAACTAGTACCTAGTAAATTGGTATACCAACATTATGTAATATTTTATCAATTTAAATAAAAACAAAGATTAATCAGTAAATATCTATTCTATAATCTCATCTAAAATATTCTTATTGAATTACATTATCGAGGAGTGTAAAATGTTACAAGTATTATGTTAGTGTGCTATTTAATGGTAGTTACCTACTAATGGATAAGAGGGTAGTTTCTATACTATACTACGATACGTGTCTTCTACAGAGGTAAACCTGTCGAGGGCAAATAAATTGTCGACACAACAAAGAATAGGACTGTTAAACCGCCCGAGATATGACCCGCAAGATGCAGCACCGATCAGAATTCCAGCAATGAAACTCATACCAATCAATATAATTAAAATCGCTCGGCCCTTATCCTGACGTACGAAAATCTCTTTACATAGACACACGAAGTCATATACAGACCTGAAAAAATAGATAACGACCTTCATTCATTATCATTCTATCATATCATATCATATCAAAAGTCCACTGCTGAACATAGGCCTCTCCTTCAATAACTTCCGGTCGGAAGCTACTTACAGGGGCATCTTGCAACCTTTATAATGTTGTCTGTCAATCTTGTGTGGTGATGGTTCTCGAGTAAATGCCTTGTACCAGGGTACCGGTAAATGCACTAGCTGCAGCTGCACATGGCGTCTTGCCAGTTTGATTTGATATAATACAGGTTAAACTTACACCAATCGCTACCTACAGGCTACAGGGACAAGAACCGGAAAATAAATAGTAGGTACCTGCTTATTTAGCAGCACAATACATTAGGTACCAAGTTACCAACCTACAGCATCTAGTGTTATCGCACAGCAGTTTGTCGGTTTCGTCCAACAGCCTTGATAATTGCTGTTGCGCTAGAGTTATTACTGGGCATTTTTTGTGGAGGATATTAGCGATTTCTCCCTCAGGATCTAAGTCACAACTACATCTTGGTGAATCATTACAATCATTACTGTCAATTCTTCCATCACTTCGCAGATCACTTCGTGGTGATACATCTGCCGCTTCAAAGTTAGCGTTTTCTCCATCATAATCATTCGAGCCCCGCCTATTCTTTTTGAACGTTTTCCTAGAATACTTATAAAAGTTCTGCACTTGATAATTGTCTGTAGACATGAAATCAAAATCAGTAAATGGAATTTTGTTATTGTTGGTTTGACTTCAGACTTTGATTGGTAAAGCTGTTCAAGTATTTCTGAGCGATTTCAAAAATATTAACAAAGAGTAAATAATAACCGTCTAATATTTAATTGTCATTCTGAGTGGTAATAGTCTCCTAGACTTTTGAATACAAAAAAGGTGTATCGCAAAATCATCTTAGCTTTTGCCCTAGTACACACGCAGCAGTATGTAGGTGTACATACCACATAAGTAGTAGGTACATAATACAAGGAAGTTTTAGGATACACTGAATATTACCGGCCTTACCTATAATTAATTGTCCTCTTGTTCGGAAGTCTCTCTGATTACAACTGATAGGTAATAATTAGCTACCGTAAAACGAGGTGAATAGATACAAGAATGGGGGGTGAATAAATAACTTATTAGAACATTTTCTCAATATTTATTCACCCCTCGAATTCACACGGGTGAGTATTCCGTTTTACCGTATTTTACTCCGTGACAAGTGCAAACTGAAAAATGGTTATGAATACTGACTAGACCGAATGATATTATCACTTCCATTATGTACGCACATAAGCAGTTCACCTAGGTATGCACATATTCGCAGTGCTAATGTGATTTGGGAGGAGGAAAATTATTAATTCAGTTTCCTACCTGTATTCATGCATTCAGTTTCATTAGTCATTCAAACAATAAAAAAATGCACCAGACTGTAATTCCTTTGTTTAGTATGCGTTTGCTAATATGAGTTGTTAAATTAAAGTAGGTACCTTTTTACCTATTCCGTTCGACTATCAGCGGTCCGTTTAATTACTAGATAATGGCTGGTTAATCAGATATTGCTTTGTTACAATCAGGCACAAAGGCGTGCAGTTACGTTTTACCTACTTAGGTGACCCCACGAATGCTAACTGCGCAAAATATATACTATACAAATCAAAGAAAAAAGGAATAATAACAATCATTTATTTGTATAATTATTCTACAAACTAATTTGTTAAAAATCACGATTAGCCCACCTGGCTCATGAATATTGCCCCTTTGCCCGCATCACCTGATTTACATTATTTATTATTTGGATAATCACAATCGTATAAAAATATAATTGTAACAAGAAGATAAATGCACAGAATAATATTAACCTATATAGAATTAGATATTATGTCAACATACTCAACATTACATTTTATTCTTTCTCATGTCAAAGTCACAAGTTAAAATTAGGGTCCAATAGCGAAAATTAAGAGACATAGCTTGAACAATTTTCGCCATTTCTTTAGCAGTTTCGGATCGGTTCTTGTTGAACTATTTAATTATATTATCTACTCTCTTAGAAACTGTTTCGCCACTGTTAATTTTCCTTTAACCTAACCGGAGCAGAAACTCCTTAAAATGCATCGAAATCTGTCTTTTTGTTTTGTTTTGTTTGTTTATCAGGTGCTGGAATGTACGAGCAACACTCGTTATAATCCTAACTACCTATCTAAGTAACAGTTCATAAATAACTTATAAAAATATATTGTAATTTCACTAAGGCACTGAACTGCAGAGGGTTAGTCTCCGAAAGACTGGTGCATCCACTTCTTTGAGTATTCGTAGACTACAAAAAGAGCGGCTGTCGCTGGTATTGTTCGTACTAGGGTAGGTTTAAGTCCGTTGTACAGCGCCAGAGCACCTGAAAATACAGAGAAACATTTTAAGCATTAATAAACGCATACAGAAGAGTTGTATTCATACCTATAAGTACTCTTGCATTCAACTATGGGTAATATAGTCGAATGCGAGTGGTGATACAATGGGCCTGTGTTTAGCAAATATCATGGTTGATTGATGGTAATTAATCATTTATTTATTTTGGGTATGATGATAAACACCAATATTTAGTAAGGTAAACAACATGATATTCATTTAATTTTTATTGTGAACTTGAATCGGTTAGGCAGACTGCCAACAAAAATTCAGCATCTCAGTTATATTAAAAGTCGCTTACAAAACTTTTCAGCAGTATAATTGTTTGTTAATGCGCTTTCTGTCACATGTTATATCACAGTTTTTATTGGACCCTTTTCTGGGACATGACAAAGTTATGATTTTATCAACATACTGACGTAACAGATAGGCTCGACTGTAACCGGATGTTCCCGATTAAAGGGTCATTGGTCTTTATCTCTCATGAAATGATTTTTAATTGTTATGAAACTCTAATCAATCCATCTTCCTTATCAACCTTTGAGACAGGATTACTATAGGGCCGCGTGAAAACCCAAAGCCAAGAAGTAATACCTATTAACTACCTAAATATTTAAATGTGATACGCATTTCTTGTCAATATAAGGCCCACATTATTAACTAGATGAGGAGCCCATTCCCATTCACCGGACTTAATATTATTTGACTCCATGCTAATATTAAGTAGTTTTCTAATATCTATGGTTATAATAATACTTTGCCCAACCCGGGAAGAGACCCAAGACCCTTTACTAGGCAGTTGGGGGTAAGATTACCTATAATCTGGAATAACATGGGCTACTTTTTTATCCCACGAACGCGGGTAAAGCCACTGGCACAACCTAGTGTAACAACGTGCAATGAATTACATTTCTTATCTCTTCCTACGCTGACGAGGTCAAAGTGAATGACGAGATACAACATTAATTATTGCGCGTCTAGCGTTATCTCAACGGTTATCGGTCGCCTTAATCTTAGAGTGTTTTCGTTTTAAATGTAAAAGAACTAATTGTTCTACTTTTGCTAATTTAAATGATGCCTATATTGTAAATCAAGACACATATTTACAAACTCTTTTTTAAATTAAGTATATCGTTATAAAAATTTAAGCTTATTTGATCCTGAATCCTACCTACCTACAATGTTCATAAAATGTAACAAGAGCGATGGCCCACATAAGCTCTCGGGATCGATTTTCTCAATAAATTTTATCCACATAGAATTTGGAATTGTTTGAGTATTTTGGTTAGTCTTTTATTTATCCACAAACATAATGGTTTTAGGTAAACATATTATGCTCCAAAGACAACATCAGAATATACGCAGTAGTTTCGTTCATATGTCACGAATAAGTACAACAAATATTTATACAACAAAAGATATCGAAGACAAGCAAATCTTTGTAAATAAACTAGAGATAGTGTAACTACGTACCTTCTTTCTGTACAATTTCATATCCGACGGTCAAAAACTTTTGACTTTTGTTTGATATTTGTATTCTTGACTTGATAACATCTGAGGGGAATATTACAGTCCACAGGACGAGTCCACCCACTGCACCGGCTATCATTGTTTTTACGAATCCTATGTCATCTTTACTTTGGCCTGGTTTCTTTAGTAACTCTCTTGTGCCTGTAATATTTAAGACATAATTTTAGAGTATTTATTTATAAGACAGTATTTTTATGGCGAAATTATCAAAGATGGTTCAGTCAGGTATCACAGATGTTGCCAATTCATACCCGAGTTATTAATCTACTATTAACAATTCCAGGATTCCTGTATGGATGTTGCTGAACCTTTTGGGTGCCGGTATATGAGACCCAATAGAAAATACATTGTCTCGCGTGGATCTACTATCAGATACTCCAATCCGGCTGTTGGATATGACTGGCTTAGATGAAGCTTACAAAATGAATATACCTTCATATCCTCCAAAGAAGAAGAAGTAGCCTGGCATCTCTCTCATAATGGTCGGCACGAGGCCTCGAAAAAGACCCTGAATGCCATACTGTTTGAATATTTGCTGTGTAAGCTGTAACGGCGATATCTTCACCTGCCGAGGAAATTTCACACAAATATTACTTTGCTATAATAATATAATCATTTTGAAGGTTGCAATCAAAATATAGCACAAATAAGATAAAGTACTGATAAGATGCTCACACATGAACATTAGATTAAACAACAATCAAATAAGTTTATGATTTATTATAACATGACTTTGATTTAGGAAATTAAGTTATGATAGTATGCATGTAACATTTTAACTTTAAAAATGTATGCAAGTAAAGATTTTTACATCAGTTTTAAAATTATATGTATAGTTTAAGATGAACCGGAGAGTAAAAAATAATAACAATACTTATTTGAAACAGAAACCACAACACATGAATTAATTCAGAGAGCTAGGACAAATAAAATACCCAAAAGAATCATCGTACAACTGTTTGTGAAGACTGCACATTGACTTCCCGCAGTGCTTGCAGCTGGCACTTGATTAATTCAGTGGGGCATAGTGTGAATGAAGAAAAGAAGGCTGCTAGGAAACCAGCTGACGCATTACCCAGGGCCGACAACTCCTCCACTTTCTAAAACCAATATTATTTATAAAATTTAAACTTGAAAGTTCTCATTAATTTATTTGATGAATTTATAAGAACAGTTAAATAACATACATATTAACATTTCACATGGAGTTACCTTTGCAAACTAAAAAATGAATACGCAATAACACATAACATAACATCACGCTTTTTATCCCTGAAGGGGTAGAGGCAGAGGTGTACATTACGGCACTTAATGCCGCTGTACAATGTAACACTCACTTTTCACTATTTATGTTAATATGAGTCCCATATGCCATAAGGCACAATTCTTGACACCATGCTACAAGTAAGTTTTGTTTGAAAAAATACCCAGTAATAATTTGCCCGACCCAGGAAACGAACCCGAGACCGTTTACCTGACAGTCACACTTGCGAACACTCGGCCACCAAGGAAGTCTATAATACGCAATAATGAGAAACTATAAATCATTTAGAAGTCGACAAATATTGTTTTCTATAAAGAGATGTTATGTGGTGTTATTGAGAGATTAAAATTGCATACCAAGACAAACGGAGGGACTGGTCACGGTATATTAAAAAGAGAACTCATAAAATATGATTTGGAGCAATGTTTTCAAAAATCAATGTAATTTAACATACCTCAACTCCACTCAGCCGACAAACAAACTTTTGGCAATAACCATAAGCAGCAAATAGTACTGAGTTCTCTGCTACATTAGCCATTATAGCAGGAGTAGTGCCTGCATACAGTCCTCGGAACACTCCATCATTACGTAGTGTCTGTTTTAGACAATCATACATTCCTTTATAAAGGTGTGGAAATGTCTGCATCTTTACTTTAACTGTGTCAAGTGGTTGTCCCACATAGACTACAGCTACCCCACCTAACAAATAAAATAATAAATAAATAAAATTGGTTTCAAAAGGAAGTAAGAATAAGAATAAGAATAAGAACGTTTATTTGCACGAAGTATGGTAATTACAGGTAGTAATAATTATAAAAAATAGTCCCACATACATCGCCTACTGTTTTCGGCATGCAAAGTTAAGTTTTACAATATAATAAAGTTAAAATCTTATTAATCCAATAAAACCAATTACAAAAAAAAAATGCTTACAACTAGGATAACATAATTATTCCTCCTAACATATTATTATTACTTTTCTTTATTCACATATTTATCATTTTGACACAGTGACTTACTGAATAACAACACACTTAATATTGCACACTTAGTATTTATTGCACACATTAAACTTTCATTGTAAGAAACTCATCTAAGGTGTAAAAGCAACTGTTGATTAGTAGTTTTTTCAATGTAATCTTAAATTTATTTAAAGGTAATTCTCTTATATGTTTAGGTATTTTGTTATATATTTTGATTGATGTTATATATGAATTTTTTTGGCATAGTGTGCTTCTACATCTTATTACAGCAAGTCGCGTTGGATCTCTGGACGAATTCTTCTTATAATCTATTACCTTATTATAAAGTTCGGGATGTTTCTTTACAAATATTGCTATTTCTAATATGTACAGTGAGGTTAATGTTAATAATCCTAGTTTTTTAAATAATGGTCTACATGATTCCAGAGGTCCCACGCCACAAATAGCACGAACACATTTTTTTTGAGCAATAAACACTCTTTTTGCGAACGAAGAGTTACCCCAGATAATTAATCCGTATCTTATGATAGATCCTATATAACCATGATACGCAGCCAGTGTTGTTTTAGAGCAAGAGACTTTTTTCAATTTTTTGAGTGCATACACAAACTTATTTATTTTATCGCACAACATGTCCGTGTGTGGCCTCCATTTACAATTCCTGTCTAGCATAATGCCCAGAAATTTGGTCTCATGTATTTCCTCTATTGGAATATTTTTATGTTGGATACTGAGTTTGTTATTTAATTTGCTATGATTGGTTGAGTTTACGAATTGGAGTATTTTGGTTTTGGAGACATTAGCAGTTAGATTATTATGAGTGAGCCAGGTCATTATAGACGATATTGCGTGGTTTAGAGATAACTCATAATTTACAGTTTTATCTTCTGTAACTGTTAATGATATATCGTCTGCAAATAAGATGCAATTATGCTCTGTGACTTGGGGAATATCATTTATATATAGCAGAAACAGAAGAGGACCCAGCACACTGCCCTGAGGAACACCAAATCTGTTAACTACAAATGAAGACTTATATGAAGTAGATACATTTTCATTGTTAAGTTTATTTAGTTCAACGCATTGTGATCTATTATATAAGTAAT